CTTTCATTTAGACCACTTTTACAGATTCGAACTCGCACATAGTCAAAAATAGAGCTAAACCGAAACTGTTCTGAGTTCCAGACAGCGCAGGAACATCAACTTGTGACAGCTAGATCTCCCAAATATGAACAGCTATTGACGTGATTCCAAAGACACTTGCAAGATACAGAGGTCTAGTTATCTCCACAAAAATTTCAGAATTTTTATCATCCCAGATTTCGAGTTACCAGATAAAGAACACAGGCTGCTCCAGAAATCAGCACAGCAGAGATAAGATAAAATGATACTTCTGCATTAAGATTTCATTCTAAATTTAAAGTTCCAATCTAAGGAAGTTGTGGACATGCCCACAGACTTCCAGCAACCAAGCAAAATACCAAATCAACCAAGTTCACAAATCAAGCATCTAATCAACCAAGTTCATAAGACCAACAAGACTAAATAAGGACACGAACTAACAACGTGATAATCTAGATCAAGGCACCTAACACCTATGGAGCGGTGTCAATCATGGTGAAGGAACGGCGCTTCTTCTTGTAGATGGAAGGCTGTCCCAGCTGTGCACGAAGTTCATCCACTTGTTTCTGAAGACGTCTCTGCGCTCTCTGAGATGCACGCAGTTCTCCTTTGACCTCATCATCCACTCCCTGCATAGCGTGGACATGCTGCACCGTTGCCTCCAGTGTTGGGTCATTCTCTGGTGGAGCCAAAACCTGCCAAACACCCTCATGATCATTTCGAGGAAGGAACCTGAAACGATCCTCCCTCATGGCCTCGAAACGACGACCATGGTAGTGGATGTAGGCATTCTGTGCTGCATCCTCCATGCCATCCAAAGCATGGGCTCTCCTGGCAGGGGCACTGTGGACAGTCTCCACCTCATGTCCATTAATGATATCATTCCATGCGGTGACCACCAGCTCTACCTTCCAGAAGGTAGCCTCCAGTGGGTGCTTGTACTCGGCGCAGTGGTAGCTGATGGAGGCGTGCAAGTCGGGGAAGTAGTCGTCCAGCACGCGGGTGAGGAGAGTGTGGTAGTAGGCTGTCTCTGGAGCTGGCTTGAAGTAGTACTTGCACTTCCAGCCAATCTCCTCGTCCACCACGGGAACAGCTGGGGATGGTGCAGGTGTAGGGGAAGTAGCCGTCGACTCCTCAGGTGTAGCTACCACAGGGTAGACGGGCACGGCGACTGGTGTAGGAGTAGGTGTAGGCGTCGGTGTAGCCATCTCCTCGTCGTCGGAGATGATCACAATCTCCCTCTCCGCCGGTGGGGCACGCGGGGTGAACATGGCACGATAGCCGGCGGTGCTGAGGCGAGCAGTCTTCGGATTATGAGACATCTATAGATTTCAAGTGAGATAGAAATTAGAATCAACAATTTTAAATAATAGATTAAGGTATGAAAAGCATAAATGTTTTAATAAAATAACAAGGATAAGTCAGTAAGCAAGAAACCAGAGGAACAAAGATGCTAAAACGACCATTTTCTAACTAGGCTTGCGTCCTACAGTCAACACGGCTCTAATACCAATTTGTCACACCCAATTTTAAGGATAAAATTGAATGTACAAAACTCGTGTGTGCCCAGGAATCAATCACACACACAAGCTGACAAATTACATAAAGTATCATCACGGTGTCTCATACATCAGAGTTAGAATAAAACTTAGTCTTATACATCACAGCGGAAAAATAAAAAGATAATAAAACTCTCGTGGCCGTCATCACAGGGAAGGTCAACTGGTTGACCACAAGCCTAATAATCCTCCGGAAAATCCTCATACCCGTTGCCATCTGTTACCCATCCGGGATTTTTATCCAAGTAAAGAAAATAAACAAGTGTAAGTACATTCCGTACTTAGCAAGCTAACATGGGGTTATGAAGCTCAAAAAGGTTAGACTCTGGTTTACTGCAGTTAGCATTTTTATTAGGTCAAGCTTTTATTCTCAAGTATTATCAAGTTATGCTTAAGCTCCCATTTAATTCCCATAAGAACATATTTCGGAGTCATATGTACCATATATCATCACTAAACAACTTTATAAGATCATCATCAAGTATCCAGTTATTCTGTGAGTTTTCCGGGCCGCTCGTAACCGTGAGCACGGCTGTTATAACAGTTTGTTACCCTCTGCAGAGGTGGTGCACATTCACCGCGAGTCGTGATCCCCATATGCCCGGGTTAATTACTCCCATGTCACTTCCAAGGTGAGCGGGCAGGGTACACTATGAAGCCATTTCATAGGTTTCCCTAACAAGTTAGGGCCGCTAGGTTTCCTTGGCAGGCAGATGTAGGAACCCCCCTTTCCTATGGCACATATCCATCGCGGCTATACACATAGGAACAGAGGCAGTCCTATACCCAACATGGCAAGCCCCATTTGCGCCAAAAAGGTAACCTCTAACTAGCTAGAAAAGGTCCTATTACTGAGCTAAAGTCAGAGCCATATGACTCTCCCGGTTGCACTGTCAGTCCCAGCTTTTGCCGACAGATAAGTCCTTATGGAGGGCCGGAAGCAACATGAACAAAGGTCATTTGCCCTTTCGCCCTATGGAACAGTTGTTATAAATCATGTTACTCACTTTGTTCCATAGTATCATTCATCAACAAGTATATCAAGTTTAGTTAGAGCACTAGCAATCTACCCATATGCATTTAACCCATAGGATACAAGGAACAGGATAAACAATCACTAGGATGTCCTTACGGGTATCAAAATTAGACACATGCAAATGAGTAATTGATTAAAGTGAAATAGGACATCAAGGAAGGCCCATGTTATACTTGCCTTGGTTCACAAACTCGTGCTGTTCCTGCTGGTCGTCGAAGAGTTCTTGGTCTCCAACGTTTTCCTCACCGTCTGAACGCGACCAACATGGCAACATACAACATTCCAAAAGCATTCATGCAAAGCAAACATTCCTATCATTAGAACAGTACACCAACAGTATTGAAATCAAAATAAAATGTTTGTAAAACTAATCTACGTTTCTCTACGATCACGTCAACGCGAAGTTCACGAAAAACGGAGCTAAAATGCGAAAGTTATGATTAAAACGGGTTTTCCTGTAGCCCCATATTTAATTAATTCTAATCATGAAATTAAAAAGTTCCAAACTTGACTATCAGTAGCGTCATCATGTAGCTTATGAAATTACGAAGCTAACGCGATTTGAATGGATCAATTCGGAGTTAAAACGACAATTATATAAGCGAAACAGTTCGAATGGCATTTCTGTAAATACTGAAAGCGTACTTTTGACTTAAACAGTGAAGTTTACGCTTTCTAAACGGGATTGCGCATTCGGGGAAATACGCTAAGGACGGCGGGTTAGGACTTAGAAAAATCCAGGGACTCTTTAGCAAATTTACCCCCGAAGGGGTATCTTCTATTTCCGGCCGTTGATCGCGCGATGGACGGTTCGGATTAGCCTGGGGGGTTTCGGCCGGCCCGAACAGTGACTCCGGCGAGGCAAGCCATGGCCGGCGGCGTGAAGCTCACTGGCGCGCGCGGTAAGGGGCCTACGGCCCACGGTTCTAAGAACCAAAAGCACCGGGCGAATGAGGGGGAGCGAGCGAACACGTCCATGCCAAGAAATCGGCCGGAGGGGAAGGCCGGGGTGGCGGACACCATGGCGGCGGCATGCATGGAGCTCATGGACGTCTCTGGAAAGGGCACTAAAAGCCACTTAAACGCGAAATGAAACGCATGGGGGAGAGAGAGGGACCACGGCGAGCTCACCACGGGCGAAAAATCGGAGGCGGTGACGGCTCGGAGACGACGGCGACGCGGACGGCGAGATCGGTGGTCGGCGGGGCTCTCTCCGTCTGGCGCTTGCTGGCCGGACGAGGCGAAAACAGAGCGGGGGGCAGGGGGGGCGCGAGGGGGGCTCTCGCCGTTTTTAACGAGGCCGAGGGCAACGGAGGACGCGCCACGACGCTGCTGCGTCGTGTGGGGCGGTTCGCAACGCTTGAGCGGGCGGTTGCCGAGCCATGCTGGGTAGGGGACGACGCGCCGACAGTGTGGGCCCAGGCGTCATTGGTATGGGCAGCTTACTGGTGCGGCGAGGTGGGCGGCACAATCTTGTGTGGGTGGGTGGCGCGCTCTGGAAAAAAATGGCGCCAAGTCACGAAAGGAAAGGGTGGGTTTGGCAAATGGCTGTCAGTCTTGGGCATGCAGGAAAAAAAAAAAATGGCCATGGGCCGAATGAGAGGAAGGGGAGGAATGGAAGGAAATTCCTTTTTTTATATAAATAAAATTTTCAAACTCATTTTCAAAAGGTTTTTAGAATCTTTTAGCATTTGAATAAAACACCCGTCACAGAATTAAATATGCAATAGCATGAATGCATCAACATGTTTCTATTCTTGCATTTTCTTTTAATTTTATAAAAGTAATATTACTTCCTAATTAGAATTGCACATATAATTGCATATTTAAATCAAATTTACTATTTTAAAAAGAATTCAAATCTTAGGGTGTTACAGCTGGCAGTGGAGGGGCCAGGGGCTCCTAGGGTTGGGCTACGAGTCGGGAGCGTGTGTCCTCCTACTGGGCTGGTTTGGTCCCACTCAAACAACAGTTTAATCAATGAAAATTATTTGCAGTCTTTTTCCGGATTGCTACAATCAGCCCTCTGTTTTGATCTGTTCTCAATAACTTTAACATACTACTATAGTGCCCGTGCTAGCGCTACAGAAAACAATACTTACAATTAATTTGATGATAAAAGCTATATAAAGAGAAAATTACGCTTCCATTAATAGTGTGTGCTCTTGAGCTTGGTACATTTAATAAGGGTATACCAGAGGAAAAAAGCAACTATAGTTGCAAATGCAAATAATGTGTTACGGAGAACAATTCTAGGCAATAAAAATAAAATTTTCTTACTTCTAAAATGGTATTGACATACTGGCAAATGACTTCCATTGTGCTTTATCAATAGCAGGTAGTAACAAAAAAATGAAGAAAGATCAAATTATTACAAACATCGGTGGCTAGCTGCCTAGGAGCCTTTCCTCCAATGAAATTGCTAGAAGTTTACTTAGTCTAGAAATCTCTGCAATCTGGAATTGGAGCCGTGCTTGTACTGCAGCATTTCCATGGCCATCAGTCACAGGAACACTGCTGGCCAAACAAAGACTGAAAGACCAAAAAAAAATCAGCAACACAGAGAACACTTACCATCTTTTATGGGCCAAAAATATCCCATGTTTAAATGCAAGATCCTCTAAGAAAGGGAAAACAACTACTGCATATAGGGTAAAACTTGTTTTAGTTGAAATGGCCTTGTTGGTTGCCTCTCGACCATTAAATGCAAGAGTAGTTGTTTATTAGAGAAGATCATGGACATCAACTGTTTTGTTTGGAATGCATTCAAAACTGGTGATAAATTAAAAAATATATGATCAGCCTAAGCCTATAACAAATTTAACAAAACGGCCAGGGACATACATCCAAATTAATAAATAAGCTTACACCACCATGTAGACACCCTATCTAATCCTAAAAATCAAAAGTAACTTTTAGGAAGAAAATAGGAATAGACGGGGGGGATTCATGGCTATGTCATAAAGTAACTATGCATCGGTTGGTGAGAATACCTGTATTTTGATGAATGGCGAGAATAAGCAGATAATGCTTTGAAGATCTTACCAGGGCAGGTGTAGATTCATAGTTCTTTCCAATTTCTTCCACACAAGGGACAACAGATCTGAAATGGCAGTAGATTAAATGGGGTCATACATAAATAAAGTCAACACATGTTATAATATCTTGAGGAACCTGCATTATAATATCAATTTTGATACTTGGCCTCTGATTGGATCTCTTGAGGAACCTGCATTATAATATCAATAACTTCTCTTAGAAGAATTAAATCAATGTCTAACTAAAGTGCATGGAAAAAAGAACAAGTATATCACGAATGGCTAAAATAGTCACATAATCCATTCCAAATGTGCAATATTGCTCCTGCTCTCACATTGGTTTCATTTAAAGAACAATGATTGACATACTTCCCAAATCAAAAATTATTCGGCGCCCTCCTTATCTGCACCGTTCATCCTCGTTGCCAGATGTTCCTCAAACGGAGCCTAATGCCAAACCACGTTCCAATGGTGTAGTAAAAACTTTGTGCTCATATCAAACTGAACTATGAAATTTCGCTGCAATAAATAACTTTATAAATCCATACAGAGTTGCTGTCTGTACATGGAACGGATAAATTTGAAGTACAACAAAGCATCTTCATACAGAATTAATGGCGCACACTGCTGCAAGATATTCAGATAAAGATTACAGCAAAACCAATAACAACTACAGCAAATATATAAAGGCTTGCTCCTCGCCAAACCACCAAAAACACAAAATACATGTCGATTCATGAACTATATGCAAAAAGTAATAAGCAAGTTAACATACAACACCAAGTTGGAAACAACCTTAGCCAACTGTCTTGCAGCAATAATAACATTTCACGTATTGCAAGGTCTACTGAACTTTCACCAATATTCATGTGGCACACACACACACACAACACTTATCAGAAAGAAACTCTTTACCATACACAAACACTCTTACTGGAGGTAGCGCATTTGACTTCATTTGGACACGAGCAGTGTGTCAGGCTTCCGCTGCTTGCTTGGTGTATTTGGCTTTGAACTTGGCCTAGAGCTTGATGCATTGCTTCCAGCAGTGCCAACTGGAACAATTTGCCCAGAAGCCGCAGCAGCTGCTGCCTTGGCAGCCTTTCGTGCACTCTTGTCAAGCTCAATCAAGCTTCGGGCTGCTAAGATTGCTTGTGCCACAAGGTCGTGGCATGCACGGGCATAGACGACCCTCACTGCTTCTGACGCAGCATCACGCACCTCGGCCTCAGTGGCGCAAGCAAGCAGTGCCCAAGAACCCTCATCAATGGTTGGAGCAGCTCCCAGGGAAGTGGCACCCTCGCCTCCTTGTCATCTTCGCTGCAATTCCGGCCACTGATGTCTCCATTGATACGCATCCTGGCCAATTCGTCCTCCAGTTCCTTCCCATTCTCAGCCTCTGAGGGCATTGGCGAGATAGACCCCAGAGAGTCACCCTCCTCTTCTTCCAGTTCCTTGTCATCAAGCTCAAAATGGCATTTGCAGTACTGCCCTGCCCACGCAGCCGCAGCATTGCAGGCATCCACCTTCGACGCAGCAGGCATCTGCGAAATCTTGGAGTAGTAGGCCTCAAATGCGACTCCAATAATTCCGGCGCGCTTCGTCGATTTCACCGCGGCCTGTGGCTCCAGCGGCGGCGAGAGCACCCCCACCACGGGAGTCGCCTGCGGAGGGGGAATCGGCAGGGGCTGCGATCGGCGAGGGGACTTGGAGCTGGGGCTGGACGCCGGCGTGTGGTATAGGGATGGGACGGAGAGGTCGGGCACCTGGACGAGGATCGGCTTCCCCTGGCGATTCTTGGCCTCGGAGGAGTACACAGCGAGGAGGACGGCCTCGAAGTCGGAGAGCAAGGAGGGAAGCTTGGGTGGGAGGCGGTGGAGGTAGAGCGCCGCCAGCAGGGGCAGGAACGCGAGCGCGGCGAGGCGGAGAGGAGCATGTCGTAGAGCCAGTGGCAGGCGGGGTCGTCGACGCCGCCGCCCGCCCGGAGCGCGTCGGAGAGCGCCGCGTAGGCGGCGGGCGAGCGGAGGAGCGCGCACACCGGGTAGTCGGCGTCGGCCAGCGCCGCCACGTCGTGGGAGACTGCGGCGGGAAGGATGGAGGAGAGCGCCAGGATGCGGGACCGCGCCTGCGAGACGGACTCCCACCAAGACGGGGTCGGATCGGAGGCTGAAGCGGATGCGGAACCGGAAGGCGAGGCGGCGCTCGCACCGGCGGAGGATGCGGAGGGAGGCATGGCGGCGGAGAAGCCGAGATGAGATTTCTCCTCGGCTGTGGAATGAACGTTTTAGTAGTTAGCTGTTTCTCGAGGGGCTACTTCGTAAACTTGGAGGCGAGAAGCCGGGCGGGGGCGCGGGCGGTCGCTGGGGCAAGAAACATCCAAAGAAGCTGGACCGTCGGATGTGGTTGAGTAAGGAGAGAGAATAAGTGAGAGTTAATCCGGTGCGTACGTTTTTAATGTAATCTTTATCTGTGTGCGTTTCGTGGGGTGGACGTAGTTTAGGTTGTGACTGTACACGTGAGATTTGTTTGGTGGTCGTAGGATAATTTGAAGTGGTGTATTATAGGGGTAGAGATCCAACTTGTTCATTTAATCATGCACAATGGATGGGTGGAGGTGGTTCTTCTCGTAGAAAAAGAAATTGCGCGACGTGGTCATCTAAGATTCACGACTCACTGTCACATATTGCAATGAATAATTCAGCATACATATACATATAATAACCTTTCTAACCTACGATATTGATCATAAATGAACTCTTTTTTGTTATCCATGGAATCATCGATGGTGCTGTACGTAGTACGTGGACTACTCCTGACTAGCTATATGTCCGGCTATATCCAATAATCATGGACAGCCACAGTTATTCTTTCTGCCTGCTGCAAGCTGCAACAATTCAAAATAAATTAAGAAGAATTCGCATTCGAGTGGCGCAGATTAATCTTGGCCATCTAGTTCGACTCCTCCCTTTTCTTTATAAATTATCAGAGGAGCGAGGCGTGTCTGTCTGTCAGTCCCAACACAGCATTTTTTTAAATCACATTTCATACAAGCAGAATAAGATAAGTTAACATCTATCAAGCAGGCAAATTAGTTGCCAGGTCACAACGTTTACCAGAAAACCAATCAATTAGAGGACGGTAGTACAAGGCAATTTACCTGCTATTGCATACTAGCTATAGGTAGACAAGAGCATCTCCAAGAACTATTGGAAACTGTTGGAACTACTGCATACTTGCGGGTTTTTAGAAACTATTGGAGGAAGGCAACAAATATGCTCCCAATTTTTTTAGCCACTTCTAAAACTCACTGATTTACCAAATATTCATTTCGGAACTATAAATTGGATATGCTCTAATCAGCAGAGAGAATAATATAAAAACCAAAAAAAAATAAGAAGCGTGCCATCAACAACCATCATCTGAAAGGTACACGTACACGCATGCAGGTCGCTAAAATAGCTAGACGTGGCGTGCCATGTATGCCCTAGGCAGGCAGGGAGGGGCAGCGCGCGGCCAGCAAGCAAGAACGGAGAAACAACGAACCAAGGGCCGCCCGGGCGGGCGGGCCTTTAATTTGTGAGCTGAATCGGCCTGGGGACAGGAAGGGATGGCCATTGACGTCTGAGAAAGACGCACGACAGCAGCAGCGGCGGCGGCGGCGGCGTCCTCCTTCCTCCTTCCTCCTCCTCCATGGATGACTCATCAGTCAGTCAGGGCGTCCAAGTTCAAGTGAACAGACAGACCACACGCGCGCGCTGGAGCTTTTCCTTCCTCTGCACCTACTGCGTCACATCAGATCACGCGTGTGCATGTGCATGTGCATGTGCAGCCATGCGTGTATCGATGGCGTTGTCCTTTGACAAACCAATCATTCCTAGGAGTTGGATAAGCTCCTTACTAGTCTGTCAGCACTTACGCTTGCTGTTTACTGCTACAAAACCGATTCTAAGAGACAACAAAACCTATTAATCGAAGGCAGATAAAAATTGTGTGTATCTCAAAAAAAAAATACACATCTATCCTCATAAAATCTATTAACAGAGACACTGTCTCTAGAAATAGAGTCCATTCCTCTCTAGAGGGCTTATATATAAGGAAAATTTTGCTGCAAGACACCGCAAAAATACATAATATGCTGATGGACACCGCCAGAACGAGAATTTGCCCAAAGACACCCCAAATTCGTGGTTTTTTGCCCCGACACACCGCACCGATTATTTTAATCATTTCTCAGATTTGAGAGAGAATATGGGTGAAATGACTCTTTTGCCCTTGTCTTCAACCTCCGGCTGGTCATTGATTTTTGCTGTAACACATCGCTGCCGTCTTTTCTTCTCCGGCGAGGTCTCTCGTCCTGCTCCCCAGCACCGGCGAGCCCGCCGCCACCTCGTGCAGCGCCGTTGACTCGCCGCGACCTAGGCATCTCGTCTCCGAGAGCGGCATCCGCAGACTCCATGGACGGCGTCGCCTTCCTCTCTGCTCCGCCCATCTCCAGCCTTTCCTCATCCGCCATCAAGCCGTGCCACACCACGCCGCTGCCAACACGGCATGCTTGGTCAAGTTGACCCGACGCTGGCCTCCCGCCCTCGCGCCATTCTGCCCGGCCAATGAGCCCACACGGGCAGCAAGCAGTGCAAGGCCAGCGCCGCCCGCTCCAACCTACCATCTTGCCGCCATCTTGCCGCCCCTCCTCCACCGAGCCCCTCCCCACGCACGCCAGCAAGACCGCCGCCGCCGCCCGACCCCACCGCCCTCCGCCAATGAGCCCGCGCGGACCCCCAAGCCGTGCTCGGCCCGGCGCCACCCTCAGCCTTCTTGCTGTGCTTTGCCGGCCGGCCGGGCCATGAAGCCCGGCCGGAGCCCCTCCCTCCCACGCGCGTGAGCAGCAGCTCCTCCATGGCTTCCATGGCCATGGAGTGAGGAGGAAGATGGACCTGTTGAAGTCTAGGCCCACCACAAGATGCCTAGGTGGCGACGAGTCAACGACGCTGCACGAGGTGGTGGCGGGCTCGCTGGTGCTGGGGAGCAGGACGAGACCTCGCCAGAGAAGAAAAGGCGGCGGCGATGTGTTATAGCAAAAATCAATGACCAGCCGAAGGTGAAGACGAGGGCAAAAAAGTCATTTCACCCACCTTCACTCTCCGTAGATCTGAGAAACGATTAAAATAATCGGTGTGGTGTGTCTGGGCAAAGAACCACGAATTTGCGGTGTCTTTGGACAAATTCTCGTTCTGGCGGTGTCGATCAGCATATTATGCATTTTAGCGGTGTCCTGCAACTATACTTGGCCATCGGGCCGGCCCGGTTCGGCACGGCGCGGGCACGGACAAGGCACGGCCCGGAGGATGTCGGTCCAGCACGGCACACCGTGCCTCCCGTGCCGTGCCGCTGCGGGCCTCGTGCCTGGCCATCAGCCCAAGCATGGGCCCGTGGGCCTAAATCCGTGCCGGGCCGGCCTGCTAGGCATGGCCAAATCAGTAGGCCGTGCCAGCCCGAGGCCCGTAGGTTCAAAAAAAATCATCTCAACAAGAAGTATTCAAATTTGAAGTATTTTTTTTCCAGAAGAGCTTCAAACCAAAACCAAAACCATACACACAGAGAACAAGAGGAAATTAAAAGGATAATTGAGTTGTGTGCAATGCTGCCTCATTAAAAACCTTTCTGGGTAAAACTCACCCTTGTGAGAAACCCCAGAAAGGGAAAAAGAGTGCAGCACAGCTCTTATAAGTCTTAAACATGTTCAAAGGTTTACATGATACATCACAGATACAGATCATAATCAAGTCTCAGGCTCTCAGCTCACCTCTCAAGTCTCACACTCTCACTGTCTCAATCTCAACTCTCAACTCAAGAACCACCAGAAGCAGAAGCCACAGATGCAGATGTGCTAGTAGAAGGAGCCCCAGAAGTAGATGCATCTTCATCAAGATAGAGATGCTCGAAGGAGTCTACCAGTTCTTGGTTGTCAACATCATGCTGCAGTCTTCTTTCACCCAGCTCCCAATCTTTTATGCAAGCAAGCATCTCCACATGTTCAGGCAATAGTCGACGGCGCCGCTCCTCAAGTATTCTTCCTGTCAAGCTGAAACAAGATTCTGAAGACACTGTTGAAATAGGAACTGACATAATGTCTCTAGCCATGATAGAAAGCACTGGATATGTTAGCTTATGGTCACGCCACCAGAGAAGTAGATCAAAGTCATCCTCATATGCAGTGACATTGTCACTATCCAGATAAGCAGATAGCTCACAAGCAGCAGCAGAAGTAGATAAAGAACGACTGAGAGCAGAGGCAGGGGAAGGTCCAACAACACCAGATGCTCCAGGGCCTCCAAAAATTCTTCCCCATGCCTGCTTCCTCTTACCTGTGATGCTTCCAGGTTGTGCAGCCCTCCTTTGAGACCTAGCTGCACCAAACTTTTCTTCATACTTGTTAAACAACTTGAAAATTTCAGTTTTCACAATACCATAATAAGAACTGTAGTCAAAACCAGTTTTTTGTTGCATTATGGTAACAACATTAAATAAACCTCTCATTTTACCTCTAGGATCAAGAATGAATGCAAATGAATACAACAGAGGTATGTCCTTCCAGTATTTTAGGTATTTAAGCTTCATAGGATAGACAATAGAAAACAGATTCTGATCCTTTGAACTTTCATGCAAATGAGTTATAATATCTAGCAGATGGTGCAGAATAAGTGGACTAGTTGGATAGTAAACACCAGAAAGAGTGACTGTGGAGTCATAAAAAACTTCCAGGAATTCAAGTATTTTATCAGCAATATACCAGTGACTTGCAGTTAACAATGTTGAGCCATAGTTGGAATTAATGAACACAGAAAAAACATCCTTATATGGAAGCAGGTGTTTAAGCATAAGATATGTAGCATTCCATCTAACATCCTTCAGGTTTATAATCCCAGTTATAAACAGAACCATCAGGATTGTATGAAAGCTTAGATTGAACCCTAGCACGTTGATCAGTTTTAATCCTACATAATTTTTTGTGCCTTGACAAGGTAGATTTGCACATCTTACAAACAGCCTTAGTGCAAATACTAGAACCATTAATAACCTCATAGATCTCCTCAAAATCAGCCCACACAGGCGATTTGCGCTTACTATTGTTACCTGTACCAGCAACCGAAGGAGCAGAGCCGTTGGAGTTCGCAGTCGCCGTCGCCCCTTCGCCACCGTCCACGTCCACATCGATCGGAGCAGCAGAGCCGT